TCGTCCACATACACTTCCATATTCCGGCCGATCTGCTTGGCGAACATTTTGTTCACCATTCTTTGGTAGGTCGCCCCCGCATTCTTTAGGCCGAACGGCATAACTTTGTAGCAGTACAGACCTTAGTCTGTTATGAATGCAGTATGATCTTGATCTAGGACATGCATTTTGATTTGGTTGTATCCAGAGTAGGCTGGTGAGCAGCTCGTGCCCGGCCGTTGCGTCCACGAGCTGGTCGATCCTTGGCAGTGGGAAGCAATCTTTTGGGCATGCCTTGTTTAAGTTTGTAAAATCTACACACATTCTCCACTTCCCGTTGGATTTTTTAACTAATACAACATTAGAGAGCCACTCGGGATACAGAATTTCTTCTATATATTCAGCTTTTAATAGTTTGTTTACTTCATCAACAATTACATCACTCCTCTCCTTATTTACAGGTCTTCTTTTCTGTTTTACAGGTCGGAATGACGGGTCTATGTTGAGGCGATGCACCATGATCTTTGGGTCAATGTCCGGCATGTCCTCGTGAGACCATGCAAAGACATCCGAGTTGGACCTGAGGAAGTTGATCAGCTCCTCCCTAGCAGTGGCCCTCAGCTTGGTTCCTATGCTTACTTGTCTTTTAGGGCTAAGCAAAGGAACAAGCTCAAGCTCCTTTATTAGTGCTGAGAATTCCCTTTTACCTGATTTTGGTAGGTCGGCCTCGAGTTTCAGCAACTCGTCTCAGCTAGCTTGTTCATCCAGGGCGCATACCGATGACTCCTTGAGCGCGGAGGCATAGCACTCCCTCGAAGTTCTCTGTTCTCCTCGGACCGTGCCCACTCCATTAGGAGTTGAGTACTTCAAGACTTGATGAAGTGTTGAGGGAACGGCCCGGAACGAATGGATGATGGGTCTTCCGAAGATGGCGTTGTAGGCCGACCTTCCGTTGATCACAACGAACTCGGCCATCTGGGTTACTTGTGTATCATATTGCCCAATCGTAACCGGCAAGTCGATACACCCTTCTGGAGACACCGATTCTCCAGAGAATCCAACCAAGGGTGTTGGACTCTTCTTCAGCTGAGACCTGGTCCATCCCAAGGCCAGATATGTCGGAAGGGACAAGATGTTGGCAGACGCGCCTCCATCTACCAACACTCTTTTGACCAGGACATGATCGATAAGGGGGGCGATCACAAGTGCATCATTATGGGGCAAGTGGATCCCCTCTAGATCGGCATCGCCGAAGCTAATGGAGCAAGTTGGTTTCTGCTCCCAGATGATGCATACCTCGCGCCTGGCCTTGCGAGCTAGCTCTTTCCTCTTATTTCCAGACTGGCCCCCACTAGGGCCCCCGAAAATAGTGTTGATGACCGCAGGTCGGTCATCTCGACGAGGTGGCGTCCTTGAACGCTTCCTCTCTTCTTTCTTCTCCACCGAGTTAGACCTTGGTTTTCCAACAAATTTTTTGAAGTAGCCATCCTGAATGAGGTATTCAATTTGGCGCTTCAATTCCCAGCAATTTGATGTATTATG